CGTTGTTTTAGAATCTTTTAAACGTGATATTCGTCATCAGGAGCTCAAGTTGTACTAGTCCTGTTACTCTCGAACAATCCGGATAAAGTCGGTGTAAAGCCTGGTACGCTCTCGAAAGAATCACCCAAGATCAAGCTGCGCAACCGCCATCACCATCACCAGTCTCTAGTTATTGGAACACTGATCGTATACGAGAATGGGTAATAGAAGAAACAAATGACAATGGACGAACAACAACACCAATTATTGTTAAGGAATGTAAAACAATAACAAAAAATGATTTAGTCACTTTTTATCGTCGTTTTCGTGGTGAAACTCAGACTTCAACATCCGCAGCAGCATTTTTATATTCAAATCCATTATCAAGTCATCATGCGTATGCATTAGATAAATATGGTAAACTAATTGGTTTCCTATTTTCTGAAGAAAAAAATAAACTTTTAAATAATCAACAATTATTAAAGATCACGCCAATTATTGACATACTCATTGAACCTGTGTATGAGAGAAGACGTCTATTATATACAGTATTAAAAAACTTTGAGTTAAATCCTTTGCTCTACCCTCATTCGATGAACGAACGCCGTTACTTATTCCACAGCGTGTATCATCCGCTACTGTCAGTTCTCCATCAACATCAGTTGTGACAATTTCATCAATATTAAATGACAAACATTTAATCTATTTACGTGACTTTGACAATAATTTAAATATAATTCATAAACGTTTTAATTTTAATAATCAACGTTTCAATAAACTTCAACTAGACGAAGCTCGTTTATTCACATCAAAAGCAATGGAAATTACATAAGATGTCATTAATCTACAAAGTCATGAACGAAAAAAATTTACTGAACATATTCGATTAACACAATCACTTGAATTACGTACGTATAAAACATTTATGGCATAATCTATGTGGCCAATTGACACAGGAATTAAGTATATGGTATGAACCACAATTGTATCCAACAGATATACAAAAGACATTTTTTTGTTCTTTCTTGTAAAAATTTCCTTCCATGTGGGCCATAATGATAACAAGCAAAAACAGCCATTATATCCAAATATTTTTCATTCTGCATTTTCGATAAAAGAGACACTTGAGATTGTTTTTATATTCATTTTGAATATTCATCGGAAAATAGTAGAGAAAAAGTTAAACATCATCAGAATTAAAAAGCTCCATACTTAACTAAAAAACATCTGTTAACTAATATACAGGGTGGCACATAACCTTTGCCTCCCCCTCTATAATCTAAAGTATCAATGATATCACAAATGTATTTTATATCAAACTAAAGCGCGCCAAAAACTGGATTTATTGGTACTAAATACTAAGGGTTATGAAGGCCTTTTAACGTCGAACTTACGAAATTTTC